CACCATCACTCGGGAGGTGGTCTTTGGCTCCCAAGGCTTTCGGGTGATTTGTGGCGATTTCAACCACGACCTCAGCAGCCTCCAGCAGTGTGCGATCTGGCGGTCTCAGGGGTGGATTGAGGCTCAGGATTTGGCGTACCACAGGTGGAATCAAACTCCGGTGCCGACATGCAAAGGTGCCACCCGCCGTGACTTCCTCTGGCTTTCGCCAGAAGCCGCAGCCTTGTGTGCCCAGGTGTCCGTCATTGAAGCGTTTCAGGAACATGCCACTGTGGTGACAGGCTTTCGGCTTCCAAGCCATTCTGCTCCGCGGTCCGTGTGGCCACTGCCTGCAGAGATGCCTTGGCATGAGGTCAGTCAGGAAGCGTGGCATCAGCACGGGGACCATCAGCCCATCCCGCCGTGCTCCTCTGACCTCTGGTATGCTCGTTTCGCAAAGGCGGTGGAACAGAGCCTCGATGGCCACCTACCCTCCTTTCCCAACTCTCGCCCGCCATCCTGCACATATGGCAGAGGTCGCCGCACAAAACCGCAGACCTCTCGAGACCCAGCTCCTCCTCTGCGCCCAAGCAGGCCCGGAGAGGCTCAACTAAGGCATGACGGTTTGGGGTCTGAGGTTCGAAGATGGTTTCAGCAGCTGCGTCGTTTGCAGTCGTTGATGCATTCAACACAGGCAGCCAACCCGGCCGCATCTGCTTTGGCATACCGCCTCTCCCTTTGGCAATCCATCAAGACTGCACGAGGATTTCGCAATGGATTTCCAGCATGGTGGTCCAGGCGACTGGTGCAACTTGTGGGCAGCCCAGCTTCATTGCCTTTGTCGGTGCCTGCGGCCCCTTTGGCCAAATTGCTGTATGAAGATTTTCGCTGCAACTTCCGCCGTCTTGAAGACTGGCACCTCCGCCGGCGCATGCAGATTTTGGATGCCAAATATGATAAGTCTCTGTCCCAGATTTATAGGGATCTGCGAGAGCCTGCCCCGGAGCAGGTGGATTCCCTTCAGGTGCGTCGTGACTACGCCATTTTGGCTGTCGCACCCTCTTGCGATCAAGTGCACCTGGACTCCCCGTTGGATCGCCGGGGCTTCTCCACTTGGGCTGTCGACGGCGATCCTGTGCGGATCGGCTCTTGTGACGGTGACCTGTGCACCTTGACCGCTCCTGCAAGCCCAACCAGCAGCGTACTGGAGCAGGTACAGACGCTCTCATCAGTTGCTGATCTCTTTTCTGAATTTAAGTCCCTTTGGGCACCCCGCTGGCAATTGCACTCCACAACCACGTCCTCTGACTGGGACCGTTTTCTTCGCTTTGCATCCGCCTTCCTGCCCTGCCACCGCCTTGTCTTGCCCGAGATCACTGTGGAGGTGTGGACCCGTGCTGTCCGTCGCTTTAAGACCCGCGCTGCCCGTGGTCCTGATGGCTGGGCCCGCCTGGACCTTTTGAATATGCCTCCGCAACGCACGCAGGAGCTTCTTCGTTTCCTGGCAGCGGTTGAGGCCTCCGAAAGGCCATGGCCCAAACAAATGGTCGTGGGCTTTGTCTGCCTCCTCTCCAAAGGGAACGGCCGGACCGATGCTCAGGGATATAGACCCATTTGCCTGTACAGCATTGTCTACCGAACCTGGGCCGGCATTCGCGCACGGCAAACATTGGCAGCCCTTCAGCCACTCCTTCCTGAGGGATTGTATGGCTTTGTTCCCGGCCACGAGGCCACGGAACTCTGGTACTCGGTGCAACTGGATGTTGAGCTTAGCTGTCAAAGCCAAGAGCCGCTATTGGGGGTGTCAACTGACATCATCAAGTGCTTTAACCATCTTCCCCGCCTGCCGTTGTTTGCTATGGCGGCTAGAGTCGGGTTGCCGCCTACCCTCCTGTGCCCCTGGCAGGCCTTCCTTGCCACCACCGAGCGTCATTTCCTTATACGTGGCCAGGTCAGCGAGGGCATCCTGTCCTCCTCGGGGTTCCCAGAGGGTTGCCCACTGTCACCCGTCGCGATGGTCTTGGCTGACTGGGCTTTCCATGCCTACATGGCTGCGTTTGCCTCCCCTGCCAAAGCTTTGAGTTTCGTTGACAATCTGAGCTGCACAGCACGTCGACCGGCACAGCTGTTACAGGCTTTTGGGGCTCTCTCTTGCTTCACTGACATGCTCCAGCTTCCATTGGACGCCGACAAAACATTCGCCTGGGCAACATGCCCCAACGATCGGACTGTTTTGCGCTGCCTGGGATACCCCGTGCTTGAGGCCGCCCGTGAACTTGGGGGCATACAGTCCTTTGGGCCTCGGGTCCGCGACTTGGCCCTAAAGGATAGATGCGAGGCACTTGCACCACTGTGGGCGTCCCTGCGCCGCTCCAGGGCACCAGTCTGCATCAAGCTGTTAACGCTCCCGGCCAAGTTTTGGGCAAGAGCACTCCATGGCATCTCCGGCTGCCCGCTCTCTGATGCCCAACTAAGCCAGTTGCGGGCGGCAGCGACGACCGCGTTGCAGATCCGACCAGGTGGCGTCAGCTCCCAGTTAAGACTTAGCATCGCGACGCCAATGACGGCGGACCCTGGCTTCTACCAGCTATGGACTTGTGTGCGTGATCTTCGCCGCATGGCAGCCAAGCTGCCCAACTTTGCGCTGTCTTGGCGTCAATTCATGCAGGCACAGGATGGCCGGCAGTTGCATGGACCCCTGACAAAGCTCGTCGCGGTGCTTGCTCAGGTGGGCTGGTGCATCTTAGAGCCACCACAGGTCCTTGACCACGAAGGACTGCAACACAACTTTGTGCAGATGCCTATGCCTTTGCTGCGCAGACTTCTTGAGCATGCCTGGCTCCAGTACACAGCGCGCTGTCATGTCCACCGCAAGGCTATGGCTGATCTGCGGGGACTAGACCCGGCATTGCTGCGGGCTGACACAAAGCGGATGTCGGCCCTGGACGCGGCGAGGTACGCCTCAGTCCGCGCAGGCGCCTTCTTGTTTGGTCATCAACACTCACAGTTTGACCTGACTCAGACCGGTATGTGTGAGCACTGCCAGGTGCCAGATACCGTGGAACACCGCATATGCCATTGCCCTCTCAACCGGGAGTTGCGCGAGGGTTATCAGTGGGCGGTTGATCGATGGAGCACTTTGCCAAAGTCGCTCACCCATCACCTACTGCCAGCAGCAAATCCTTTCTTGCCGGCACTGCGCCGCTGCCTGCATCAGATTGTTGATACGACGGGGGTTTTCTTCTGTTCAGGGTTTGGGTTGGGTTGGCAACAGCTCTTCACTGACGGTGCCTGCACCCAACATGTGCATCCCGACTTCGCTTTGGCTGGCTGGGGGTTGGTCCACGCCCAGCACCACACCGCAGTGGCCTGCGGCATGCTACCAGGTATTCTACAGTCAGCCCCGCGTGCAGAAATCACTGCGATGACGTCTGCAGCACGCTGGGCCTTGCAAACCGGACTCCCATGCATGGTTTGGACGGACGCGCTCAACGTGGCCAATGGCGTGGCTGCAGTGCAGTCAGGCGGCACCATGAATGAGGATGAGGATGCAGACTTGTGGTCGCCGCTGACCGGCCTCTTATCTCAGCTGGAGCCCAGCCGGTTTTTGGTTCGGCACACGCCCTCCCACCTGGACACGCAACTCACCGAGGGACCGTTCGAGGACTGGCTTGCGGGCTACAACGGTCATGCCGATGTTCTTGCAGGCATAGCCACCAGAAATCGGCCCCAGCTTTTAGTTGAGGCCTTCGAAGCGGCGAGCTCCTACTATCAGGATACCCTGGAATTGCTGCGGGCATTTCGGTCCATCTTCTTCGGCATCGCTGACAGACGACAGACCGCCCGTGGACGCACGACAGCTGCGGAGGGTGATACCTGGGAGCCACGAGTCCCGACTCCGTGTACGGTGCCCAGACGATTGGAGATCGAGGCAACCCTGCCGCTGAACTGGAGCCAAACGTTGGCAACAATTCGGAGTGACTTCCCCGTAGACTTCGTTCGCTCCATCTGCGAGTTCATTTTTCAGCAGGATGCTAGTGCTACGGAGGCGTACGAGCTGTCATGGCTGGAGTTGGTCTTTGCCCTTCATCTTGAGGACCGAGCACAGTACCCGGTAAGCGGTCCAGATGGAAAGTGGTGTTCAGCAAGTTTGCTAGCTTTTCGCCCTCCTGCACCTACTGTGGCGGGTCGGCTTAGTATTATTCGAAAGGCCATGCGGCCGGTGCTGCACGGCTTGAATCTTCAGTCGTTGATGGTTCAGGGTATCGATCGTTCTGATTTCGGCATCGGTTTTAGGCTGGATGGCCTTGTGGTTGGGGTCGATTCTGAGCTTTTCCTTCGGGCCCGTGCAAGCCTCGGCCGCTTTGTACAGGGCAGGAGTGTCGGCACAAAGGCCGCACTTGCCAGGCCGATCTAGTTTTGACCAGACCAGGAACTTCGCTCGCCTGCGGACTGCACTGCTCGCGCCGTGCATCCGCTCTATGGCCCGTGTGTGGTATATCAGGGTCCACTATTTTCGAAAACCCCGAGTTGTGAAAGGCCCTGCGGCGAGCTGCTGACCAGGAAAGTGAGGCCCATTCCTTTGGGATGCGGGGAGCTTCCTTGAAGAGGGCTTGAAGCTTGATATTAGTAGTAATATTAGTAATATGACTTAGTCACTAGTATTTATGTTAGTATTGAGCTAGCCCAGGGAGTGTCAAGACAAGGAGGATCTGCAGAAAGAAGCAGCAAACCGTCTTTGTCGTACTAGGGATGTACGCCCCAAGTATCGTTCTGCTAGTGGCATAATCTAGGGGGCCTCAATAATTGCCAATACGATTGTCGGGGTTCCTTGTTATAATTATCGTAGAATATACCCCAAAACCCGATTAAAAAGTGTTAAGGCCCCTATATTAAGCCACAGTGCCGGACTTCAGCTCCGGCTTCATCTCCAGGTTCGGCAACGCTTGCGTTGTGTGTGCAAAGGCTCACTAAGGGGCAAAGGGGCAATTTGAAAATCGGGCATCTCTTGCTGGCAATCTCCGCGCTGGATTTCTGCTAGCCTCATGGTTTCGCCCTGACTTGTTGCAAGCCCCCGCAGAAGCTGGCGCACCTCCAGGTGCTGCGTTTGACGATGCTGGTGGAAAGGTCTGAAGCGGCTTGGCAAGATTGCAGGAAGGGGGGGCTGATGATGCTGATGATGCTGGGTGCTGGCTTCGGGATTGTAGGATGGGGCTGCTGATGCTCATGGGAAGCAGGAGCTGATGATGCTCATGATGCTCCGGGCTGGCTTCGGGACGTGGGGCTGCTGATGCTCATGATGCTCGGGGCGGCTTGCAGGAATGTGGGGTAAGGTTGGCTTCCATATTGTCGGGGCTGGCTTTGGGATTGCGGGAGCATTGGGCCGCTGATGCCCATGATGCTCGAGTTTGGCTGCGAGAAAGGCAGCGGGATGCCGCTCATGCTGCCAGGGGCTGGCGAACGTGGGCTGCTGATGCTCATGGTGGCTTCGGAGATTACAGGAAAGGGCGGCTGATGGTGCTCATGACCATCCCATGGTCGTGCTTTCTCCCTGCATTACCTACGCACCACTTCGGCTCGAGTTCTGCGCTTTGCCTGTGGACCCTTCGGCTTCTGCGCCTGCTGTCTTTAGCTTGGAGGACTTGTTCAACATGACCTCGGCCGAGAAGACACGTGTTGCGCTTGTGGGCTTGGGCCGCGCTGGTCACTTCCACCTGCAATCCGTGGTGCAGCTGCCGCATGTGGTGCAGCTTTCTTGGGTTGTGGACATCGATGAGGAGAAGGCCCGGCGCATTGCAGCAGAACAAGGGTGCCGCTGGTCCACAGAGCTGGGTGAGGCGCTCGATGATGTGGACGCAGTTATCATCGCACCTGCGACGGATACGCACTTCCCGTACATTATGGAGTCCCTTCGGGCCAACAAAGCTGTCCTGGCCGAGAAACCCATCTCTCACGAGCTGCATGAGGTCATCGAGGCTGTGGAGCTGGCAAAGAGTCGCAACCTGCCTTTTGTCTGTGGCTACCAGCGCCGAGCCGACCGCCACTTCCGAGCGCTAAAGCAGCAGCTGGATGCAGGCGCAGTGGGCAAAATGAAGTTGGTCAAGACCTGCAGCCGAGACAACCCACTCCCCCCATCGCAATATCTCCGAACCAGTGGTGGCATCTTCCACGACATGCTGATCCACGACTTCGACATGCTTGACTTTCTGAGCAACGGAGAGGAGCCAGAATCGGTCACGGCCATCGGGCATTGCTACCACCCCGAGATTGAAAACATGAACGACATCGACACATGTGCGGTCATGTTCAAGTATGCCAGCGGCATGATGGCCATGGTTGACACCAGTCGTGATGCTTCCTACGGCTACGACCAACGCATCGAAGTCTTCGGCGAGACGGGAATGCTGACAGCCCACAATGAGCTCACCAGCACCGTGGAGCTGGCCACAAGTGCAGGACACCTGCGACCGCCGGCCATGTACAGCTTCCCCCAACGGTACTTGCAGGCCTACAGATCCGAGCTTACGGAGTTTGTGGAGCTCGTGCGCGCCGGAACTAACAGCGAGGTGCATGCCAAGGAGCAAGTGGCCATGCTCCGGCATCCGGGTGTGGTTCGAGCCACCATGGCTGCGGAGCTTTCCTGGAAGCTTGGCCGCACGGTGCAGCTGGCGGAGGTGGGCATGTTGCCCTGAGATGAGACTGGATGCAGCTAATTGACTAATAATTCTGAGGTTTGTTACGTTACGGTTCGTGAGCCAACAAGCCTTGCAGTGGGTTCATGAAGAGCTACTCTAGGTTCTACTTTTCCGGCCAGTTGAATTTTGAGAGTTTCGGGTTCGATGAGATCCTTCACGGCATCATTCGCGAACTCAGACTGTTTTGGGCTCCTTTGCAAGCACGCCCGAATTGGTCTTTTGCAGAGGGAGCCCTGTGATCTTGAGCGCGGCACGGGACGGACCAGCTTGCCGCCCGCAAGTCTCTTGCTCTTGCGGTCGCATGGCGGCCGGGTCCGGGTTTGAGCTGCTGTCCGCGGGGCAAATTGGCTACAGAGTAATTAGCATGGGAAACAGTGCGTAGTTACAGCAGCTCACGCCCCAGTCGGAATTCGAGATTCGAACAGCGCAGTGGCTAGTCGCACAGCCTCAAGCACAGCCTTAAGCTCGCGTTGGCCGATGCCAAAGTTCGTTTCTCCAGGATTCTGCACCGATGCAATCACTCCACTCTTATTTTGAGCATGGATGAGCTTCGGATGCAAATAAATCATGTATGTATGTCCGGCAGTTCTACAAGCCACAGGAACCTCGGACAAAAGCAGCTGCAAAGCGAAGTTCTGAATGGTCGGGCACCAGTCGGTGAATTCTGGGCGCCGGGAGTCCTAGAGACGTCTTGACACCAACCCGGGTCCAAGAGCCTCTAATGAACTCCTCCTCGAAGCCTTTCGGTTGAGACTTGAGATGTCAGTGCGACGTGCCTTCGAATTGCCCAAGCCTCCTTCAAGCAGGCTCGGGCGCAAGCGGCGCAGGCGGGGGCGCCGCCAAAGCTTCGGCATTGAGGAGGGTGAAGGCGGGCATCTTCTGCACGCACTGTTATGGTTGTCGTTTGATTACTTGCGAACCATATTCTAGTTCGTCCGATTGGTTTTCCGTGACGAGCATCATGAAGCTGTGGGAGTTGCGTATATGCAGGGCTAGCAGTGACCTGCCTGCACTCCGCGAGTACTTGTTCTGCCTCATCATTCTGTGTGCGCTGACTGTTCTTGCTTCTACTGCTAAGTATCACGACTGCGACGGCGACCACCCCCACCGCCGCCGCCGCCGCCACCACCAGCACCAGCAGCACCAGCACCAGCACCAGCACCAGCACCAGCACGAGCACCAGCACCACCACCAGC